CAACAGTGAATAGGTCTACCCTTTTTGCATGTACCAGCATTTTTGTTACTAGAAGACCACTATCGTAGAATCTTCACTTTTGCAGGCTGAACTTAACCATCTCTTTTAACTATTTCTTTGTAGGGTTTGGTTTTCAGAACCCCTTTAACTATAATGGTAGTTCTCCTCTGAACAGTACTCAACTTCTTCATGTCCCTTTAAAGTTTCGGTGTCCAGAATTAGACACACTACTCTATCTATCCCATGCATAATAAGGTGTCAATAATTCCCCTTATGATAAAGACATAATGATTCTGTTAAATTCATCCCAAGATTGCATTGGCCTTCCTAGCACCACAATGTTTGCACCTGTTCAGATATTGTCCTCTAAGGTATTAGCCAATTTTCTCTAATTCAGGATTGGGTAAGCATTCCTTTTGTTCCATCCTTTCAGTCTCTTTTATGAAGATGCTGAGTAGCATTGGACCAAAGATGAAACCCAAGGGGCCTCCCCTCAGTGCTGCCCCCCCCCCCCAGGATGTTGCAGATAAACCTAGTTCACGTTAACAGTATGATAGAATACCTTGGAATATAGGGCAAAGAGATACAACCAAGGGAACGGTCAGATAAAAGGCAGCTGAGCCTCCAGCAGGAATGTGGGCGGGGCAAAAGGTCCAGAAAAGACCCTCTAGTTTCTTGGGCTGTAAAGGAGATGGGGGAGGGGGGAGAGAGATTTGCAATATTCTGTTAATGTAGCTGTGAAGTTTCCAAGAGTTGGCCTAATTAATTTACGAGCCTCAAGACGAGGTTAAAAAAACACCATTCATTTATTAGGACTAACACCTTGGCACGGACCTCTGTGGAGCCGAAACTAAATCCCACTTAATGGTGTCTGAACTTTACCTCTGTGTCCCCTCCCCTCTGGTTGAGGTCATTAATCACATTCTCCAACAGGACGTTATGGCACGGTTCTGGACATGCACATTCACATCCTAGTACAGAAATATGAGACTTTTACTCTGGCCAAAAATATGCATGGCATTCCCCCCCCCCCTCAAGTTGATAGTAGTCATGGAAACACTTTAGACGTTGACAGTAGTTTTACATTAAAATAGAATTAGCTCATTTGGTTGTGTTTCCTGTATAGTCTACTGTTGTGGCCCAGCAGGAGCCGTTGGAGCTGTGAGGACCCCTATGAGTCTGCTATGAAAGATGTGGCGGGCCCTGGGCAGGGTTCAAACTCAGAGCAGGGACCAGAGAGGCTGGTTGGCCACCAGGAAGCACCTGAGGCATGGAGTAATGGGGAAGATCAAAGGGAGTTTGTCCCTGACGCCAGGCAACGAAGGGCGGAGAAATGGAGGCAGCAGTTACGAAGAGAGACTCAGAGAGATAATCAAGCCCAGGTGGTTGTGGCTTGGCCCCTCCCAAGAGAGTATATAAGAAGAGACTTTGGGAGGAGTCCTTTTGCAGGACACAACCATTCGTAGCAATCTGGAGAACTCCTTGTCTGTTCCTATGTCTGTTGGAGTCTGGGTTGCTGCCAACGTCTTGCCAGTGAGTCGTGTCTGGGCTTTCAGCCAACAGAATTATAATTGCTGTGAATAAAGAGTGGCAAACAGCTAAGCCTGTGTCTGCGTTCATTACCAGACGGAGGGGGGCTAGAACAATCTACCTACTGAAATTGGATACCGTATATTTGCAAACTCTCCATAAAAACATATTAAGAGACCTTGCACTTCTTAATGTCCCAAATTAATGTGATGAAAAGATAGAAGATTTAAAAACAAACAAACTTGTGGTAGTTCTGGTAATTGTAGCTTTATTGTCTAAGTGTTTATGGGCAATTTGTTTCTCCTCTAATAAAAATCCCAAACAGTAGCCATTTTGAGTCTGTTGTAGGAAAAGCAAGAATGGTCCTTTGACAAGAATTGCTACATTTTGAACAAGTTAAGAGAGCGAAATGAAGGCTTTGTTTTTTATTAAATCCCACCCTTCAACTTTTTTTGAGAGTCTTGTACCTCTAAAACCTCAATATTGCAGTTTTTTAAGCCTCATAACATGGCAGATATAGGACACTGCTTATGTGGTTGCTTCTTTCCTTCATTTCCTGCCATTTAACCCCCTGCTTGTCAGTGTGACCTTTTGTTCAGTTGTTATGCAGGACTGCCTATCGGGATAAAACTTCCATCCCAGAAAGACAGAGCAAGTGCATAAATATGCTGTTGAATGCATGAGGAAAGAGATATTTTTTTAAGAAAACCATAACTGGGAAGCCTTTCATGAAATTGTCCCTGGCAATGAAATGATTCAGAATAAACCACATTGAGCAGACACAGTATAAAACCTTGACTGTTTCAACAGAATAAAACCTTGACTTTCCCCAGCCTCTATTAAAAAATATTTTTATCTAATTAGTCATTCATTGTGAACCTATAGAGTTGTGTGGCCACTTCTTCCTAATTTACAATTCTTTGCTTATCTCAGAAAGAAACTTCTTTGAGCTATGTGATGCCAGCAAGTGACCCAAAACAGGCCTTTTGGGAAGTATCCCAAAAGGCCTGTTTTGGGTCACTTGCTGGCATCACATAGACTTTGACTTGATGTTACACCCCCAACGAGCTACTGAGCCTTCTAAGAGCCGAGTTTCTCCAGTCTATTGTCTCCTCAGATCTCAGGAGAACAAATCCATGGAATAGTCCCCCTCTGAGCCCAGTTTTAAGTCATGGGACAGTCAGCTGACTTCACATAACGAACTGGGGCCTTTTGGAGTAGTATATCAGTGTGCACTGAGCTGTTCTAGATTGCCAATTGCAGGAAACCTGTGAGTTCAGGAAAGCAAGAGGAATGTTGAAATAACTCGGGAAAAGAGGATTGGTAAGCAGATATTGATAGGGACACCACTTACCTCATAAACCTCTAGAAGTTCCATTTATCATCACTCCTCAGGAACCAGGACACTTATTTATTTAACAAATTTATATACACGATGACTTGGGTTGGCTTACAAACATTTAAAATCTGCAGTAACCCTAATACACCCCATCTCCCATGTCGGCAACAAACACCAGCCATTCCATCAGCTCCATATCAACCCGGGTCGCCAGGTCTGCTGGTAGAACCACATCTTCGGGGGTCTTCCAAAAAAGTAGCCAGTTGGTAGCAATTTTTCTGTGCAATGGAAAGCTACTGTTAATCTTTTTTTCTTGTTCCCACTTCTCCTGATGCCTCTTATCTGTTGTTTTATGCATAAAGAGGCTTCCTAGCCCCCCACCCTTTTAAAAAAAATATGCCAACAATTTCTGTTGAATGCTGTTTCTGCCAGAATGGCTACTTTCTCCTTGCCATTTTGCAGTGAGTGTCACTCTGTTCACTAAGTGCTTTGTGAAATGTTTTCATATCTCCATTGCTATTCTATCAACACTGTTCTAAAAGCTATTTCTCCATTCAATGCTATTTACTCAATAATTGCTTCTTTCTCGATCATTGCTATTTCTCAGTGACATGCTTTCAATCAATTGCGAACTGAGGTATTGTTCTTCAATAAAATCCAGCCGCTTTCTCTGAGGTGTATGTTGTCATCATTTTTGAGGTCCCTATTTCCTATCAGATCCATCATTTTAAAATATTCTTTAGTAAGATCTCACTTGCATACCACACCTCATATAACAACCTGATTAGCAATTTTCCANGCAGAGCCACCCTCCCACTTAAAAATGGGAGGTGAAAGGGCCTCATAAATGGAATAGCCTAGGGCCTCTTTTCATCTAAATTCGGCACTGTTTGCACCATAGTGTGAGTGCAGGCACTAACATATCAATACAGGTAGTCCTTGACTTACAAATATTTGTTTAGGGAGTGTTAAAAACTACAACGGCACTGAAAAAAGTGACCAGTTATCACACTTACAACTGTCACAACATCCCCACAATCACATAATCAAAATCCAGGTGCTTGGCTACTGGCATGTATTTATAATGGGTTGCAACATCCTGGAGTCCTTTGATTTACCATTTTGCAATCTTCCCAGCTGGTTTTCAACAAGTAAAGTCAGGGGGGGGCAGCTGGATTTGCTTAACGGTTGCATGATTCACTTAACAGCTGCCCGTGATTCACTTAACAGCCATAGCAATAAAGATCATACCACGTTTCTCCAAAAATAAGACAGGGTCTTATTTTCTTTTAACCCCTGAAATAAGCGCTTAGCGTTAGTTTCAGGGAGGTCTTATTATTTTTGAAGTGCGGGAGGCCCCTTAACCTCAGCCCATGGATCAGCTGAACCAGAGAGGGCCAGGTGTTCTGTCTCACTGGGCCGGCCACTCTTTTTGCGACCGCCATTAAGATAAGGGGTGTGGTAACTAGGGACCAACTGCACATGCGTTTAAATATTTTCAGGGAGGGCTTATTTTGGGGGAGAGCTTTTTTGAGGGGGAGGGCTTATTTTAGCGCATGCGCTCAAAAGCCCAATTGGGCTTATTATCCAGGGAGGTCTTATTTTGGGGAAAACAGGGTAAAATAGGATACAACTCAACAACTGCCTTGCTTAGCAACAGATATTCTGATCCCAATTGTGATTGCAAGTTGAGAACTACCTGTATATGTATATGAAAAGTGGCCAGGTAAGCAATCTCACCTGCAGGATGTCTTACCAAGTCAGGTGAGAATGCAAAAAACTCACAATCTTCTCATGCAGTAGCACCAATGTCTCCCCAGATTGGATGGTACCATAAGGATTGGTCGCTTGTTTTAAGCTGTTTTTTCTCTTCTTCTTTTTAAAAAAAAAATCATTTTGAAGTTCCAGATGGCACAACCATCCAGTGCTCCATAATAATAGACGGGAGAGAGAAAATTCCTTGAAACTAATGCTAGCAAGCTGTCAGATTTGACTACTTTGTAATAAAGGCAGTTATGGGGATTAAGGTCTGGGTGAAAAGACACACTTTGAATGTGCAAGAAGAAGGGGAACAAGAAAAGGGAAAGGGAGAAGAACCCAAACAGGAGACACGGACTGAGGATTTTCCCACCTTGAAGAAGACTCTGCAGAGGAAGGCTTTTGCTCTGCATCTGCAGCCGGGCAGCAGAATTGGTGTAAAACAGTCTCATTCCTGTAAAAAAAGAAAGACAAACAAGGGACAGATGAGAATTCAGCTCCTTGAGTCGCATTTATGTACATTCCTAGCCACTGGTTCTCACTGATAGTGCCAGTTGTTACAAAAGTAAAGGAAAACTTTGGTTATTTGTTTATTTTTTTAATGTATTCACTGTACAATTCCAAGGGATCCACCATCTAAAACTGAAGATTGGCATGAAAAGTGTGCAGAGGGTATTGAGCCCTTCTCCATATTAACACCTCTCTAGCACAGGAGTGTCAATGTCGATTTCATTGAGGGCCGCATCTGGGTTGTGTTTGACCTTGGAGGGCTGGAGGGGGGGCATGGCCAGTGTTGGTGTCATGTCGGGGGCATTTGTGGTGGTCAAGTGCTAAGGCCGGTCTTTCCTGAAAGCCTCACTCACTCTCATTATAGTAGCAATAGCACTTAAGACTTATATACCGCTTCATAGTGCTTTTGCAGTCCTCTCTAAGCGGTTTACAGAGTCAGCATATTGTCCCCAAACAATCTGAGTCCTCATTTTTACCGACCTCAGAAGGATGGAAGGCTAAGTCAACCTTGAGCCGGTGAGATCTGAACTGCTGAACTGCAGCTAGCAGTCAGCTGAAGTAGCCTCACTTTCAGTAACAACTGTGGGAAGAAAGTCATAAAATGGGTCAAAACTCACTTAATAATGACCTTGCTTTTTTTTTTTAAAATTATTATTTATAAATAATTTTTTAAAAAAATAATGACCTTGCTTAGTAACAGAAATTTGGGGCTCAATTGTAATTGTGGTCATAAGTCAAGAACTATCTGTAAGGTAAATGTTCCCCTTGCACATATGTGCTAGTCNCCAGAACAGATAGCTATACGGTTCCTTCAGAACCTGGAAATCCTACAGCTTCCCAAGTCTCCTTTTATTCTGCTTTCAATGAAAATCAGAAGAAACTTCTTAACTGACAACATGACTCTCCGGATAGTAGAATGGCTCACTCAGGAAAATATATTCATCACCAGACACTTTCCTTGGCATATTGCATATGAAGAGATCAAAGTTTGCAACCTGACACTTATTTTTAGCACGGGCTTTAATCACCATTAAGCCATCTGGCACCAGTACAACTAAATGCAAACGCCTTCTTTGTTAAGCAACCGCTATTTCCCATTCAATGGCATTAGCACTAAATCGGTTTCTTGGGAAGAGTCCCAGGAAAACAGCTGTGCTAAGATACTGTGTTTTAATGAATAATGAGGATGCCCAAATAAGCTTGGGATGGATCCCAGTGGACCCACCTGGTGGATGCAGGTTGGCTACTCAAAGTTGCTCCTCCATCTTGCTTTGTTGCTGGAGACTCCCATGATCTCAAAAAGTACAAAACCTCTTTGGCCACCTGAGGCTGCTACACTGATGCTCATGCTTCTTGTGGTGATGAGACGTTGGCTAATTTTAATGCTGTCCCCAAAAATTAAGGATTATATTTCTTTTGAAGACCGTTTAAATGCCAGAATTTCGAAACACAACTACTAGGCTACTAATTAAATCCGGCCTACCATTGGGAAAATATTTATGTTTTCAGACTTAGGTCAAAGTAGAAGTGCCTGATTTTAAAAATCTTGCATTGCTGGGAGACAAGTTTCCCTGATCCAAATGCGCTTACCAGGCACACCACAGCAGCTAGGTTTCTGGATTTATTGAACCATAAAGTAACTCGGTTTGCAATACATGCTAATTCTAAAAAAGAAAATCCTAACCAAGAGCAAAGCTACTTAACATTAGCTTGGATGTTCTTTTGTTCCTTTATTTGCATCCTAATCTTTAGAAGGGACATGGTGGCTCAGTGGCTAAGACGCTGAGCTTGTTGATCAGAAAGGTCGACAGTTCGGCGGTTCGAATCCCTAGTGTCGCGTAACGGAGTGAGCTCCCATTACTTGTCCCAGCTTCTGCCAACCAAGCAGTTCGAAAGCATGTAAAAATGCAAGTAGAAAAATCAGGACCACCTTTGGTGGGAAGGTAACAGCGTTCCGTGCACCTTCGGCATTTAGTCATGCCAGCCACATGACCACAGAGACATCTTCAGACAGCACTTTGAAATGGAGATGAGCACCACCCCCTAGAGACGGGAACGACTAGCACATATGTGCAAGGGGAACATTTACCTTTTTAATATTTAGACCAAAATGTCTAGGTTCACACATCATTCCATTTTATCAACTTGCAATTGAGTTCACATAACATGTTAAACCAGTGTTTGTTAACCTTGCCAATTTTAAGATGGGTGGACTGCAACTCCCAGAATTCCCCAGCCAGCTTGGATAGGATGCAATTCTGGGAGTTGCAGTCCACCCGTCTTAAAGTTGTCAAAGTTAACAAACACTGTGCTAAACCAAAGCCAAACTGTATCACAATTTAGTATGATATGTAAGGTCTCCTTTACTAAGCGGCTTTAGGCAACCCACTAAATTTCCCTTGTTGCATAAAGATAAGGATGAGAATTTGATAATAATCTGTTACATCTACAATGTACCGATGATAAGCATTTAAATTACATATTGTCATTAGAATGACTGAAATAGCATTACATGAAATGCTTTTGATCATTAAGGAATACTAAGGATGTTAGCACTTTAAATGAAATCTGGGAAGCAAGGTTGTCAATTATGTACTCAAAGATTGCACATTTGATTTGCACATTTAACAATAATTTCTACTACAACAAGAGCCACAGTCTACCCACAGCAAGCAGTTGCTTACAAACAGATTGCAAATGTATGCCAATATGGACTTACTATAAGGCTCTGGGCAAGTCTAAATCCCAAATCTCTACAAAAATTTCTCTATAGTTGCCTACTTTTCAATAACACAATCACAATAAAGAACACAAGACAAAAGAGGGTGGTGTGATTTTCAGAAGAACCCATGTAAATGGTGCATGGTCATATTCATTCATTTTTAAAAATCTGTGTAGCATATGTATATGTGTATTACATATTGCTATTAATTGACATTATGAGGTGGCAGAGGTGGCGAAACTCAAGCCACCACTAGATGGCAGCAAAGTATTGGATTGTTTTTTCCTCTCTTGGCCACCCTCTTGTGGTCATTCCCATTTTTTCAAACCAAATAACTTTAAAAGGGTTCAACTTAAGCTTATATTGTCTTCACTAGAGTGCTTTGGAAGTTTAAAGACCTTTGGTCAACTTTGAAAACTTTGAGAACAGGACTTTGGTCTTCCGCATAGTTTATGGAGCTGGTTGTTTTAAAAAAGAATCAGCATGCAGAAAGCTGTGTGTGACTTTAGGGTAATAATGAGCGGTTTGCTCTTGGAGGTTGTGAATCTGGTAATTCTGCAAGGACTGCTAGTTGAATAACATTTGTGGATTTTATGAGCAAAAGCTTTACAAAGCATAGCGAGAGAAATGATCACCAGCTAATGTCAGCATATTAAGCCATTAAGCCAAGGATAGACAGCTTGTGCCTCAGAGCTGTATCAGAATCCAAGCCCTTGCCAAAATTCAACAGCGTGATTACTGCAAATCAGCAGTAGCGATCATTTTTAGGCAAAAAAAACAACCTGTGAAAACTCTATTGACTTACAACATAGGTTGTAGTCAAAGATGAAATGTCAAGTAGCAAGGAGAATAGCAATAGCAATAGCAATAGCANTTTTGTCCAAGCAGTTGGATCTCCCAGTTGAAACTCATTGTTCTGACCTAGGCTTCTCCATAAAGCACGAAGCAGATTCGTGGTCCCAGCAAAACCCTTTTTTAAACGGATATGAATTCCTCTCATTTACATTCAGCAAAAGCCTGGCGAACAGCCTTTCAAAGGTGAATTTATGACCATAGACCTTATCTAGCTTGGAAAGCTGCCATGTAAATATTTTCCAAACGCAGGGCTGTGCAAGGAAAGACTTGGCACAGAGTTTCTGAGATTCGTGGACAGATCTGCACACTCCTGAAATGAATGAACGAATGCAGATTTTTGCTGGAAACAGCAAAGGACCAGCCCGCAGTGCCTCTGCCAGGAAAATGGAGCTCGGAAGGGCCGTGCACAGCCCTCCCAAGCTCCATTTTTGCTGGCAGGTTTCAGGAGGCCATTGCAACCGAAAATGGAGCTCGGGAGCCCGTTTTCACTGGCAGAGCGCTAGAGTCACCACAGATGCCCCTGACACAAGTGATGTTGAGCTGGCCACGCCCACCCTCGCCCCCTGAGGTCAAACACAACCCTGATGCAGCCCTCAATAAAATCGAGTTTGACACCCCTGTTCTAACCAATGGATGCAAACACAAACTCAGATTGAAGCTGTGTTCATTATGGTGGCAGCACTCCTCCTCCTCCCCTCTTAATAATGACAAATAATGAATAGGGGTTTTTTTTTTTTTTGCAACAAGCGTAAGTAACAAGCATATATTTGTTAGTCTTTAAGGTGCCACGAAAATACAGCCACTCTTGCTGCTAGAGATTAATACAGTTGTTGCCCTCTGAACATTTATTGTTGCAATTGTGCACATGACACCAGAATGAAGTACAGATTCGATCTAGAAAATTGTTTTCATGAGCAGCAAAAAAAAAAAAAAAAGTACCTCAGATTAATGACTGTAAATGTGTAACCTGAGGCAAAGTGTTACTCCACATAAAGGTGGCTTGTCAAGAGATATCTGCCTCGCCATTTGTGCAACTGTGTCCTTTGCAGCAGGGGTCTCCATCTTTGGCATTTTTATGACTTGTGGACTTCAACTCCCAGAATTCTTCAACCAGCCAGTTAAAGTCCACAAGTCGCAAAGTTGCCAAGGTTGGAGACCCCTGATTTACAGGCTTCTACTCATCCTGTCCTTAGATTGCCAATGTGTTCTGACCCAGTTCCCTGAACATGAGAAACCTTCTATAGTTAGGGTTAGTTTGTTAGGAGCAATAGCAGTCACCGCAAGCAGACAAGTCTGTCCAGCAGGGAGATGAATAGTTTTTTAGTTTTTTATAACTCTTTGCCTTTTATCCCCAGAGCTAGGGTAGG